TTATTATTATTATTATTATTATTTTAATTAAATGATACTCTAAATAAGAAACTAAATCTGCCAGGAGGTGGCGGTAAATGTATTCATTCGATTCGTTCAAACGGCTGATTCATTCAGGAATTCAGTAAACGGCTCTCTTTATGAATGGGCCTTTGAATCATTGATTCACACGATTCGTTCAAAACGCGGATTCGTTCAGAAACTAAACACCTCTGTGCTGCTCGGAGACGCACAACAGGCTTTATAAAGGTAATATGTTCTCTGCAAAATTGAGCAAAAAAAAAATATATATATTGTGTTTAAAATATAACACAATATCAACTTTTATTTACTGAACTGTTGTATAAAATCACATTTAAACTTGTGATATTCAGAACAAACAGCACTCGTGTAATACGCAGCGAGCTTGTATGATATCGCTTATCATATCATGATATAAATATGAGACAAAAATACATACAGGGGCATTTTTGCACCAATGTCTTGAATTTTAGGGCATAACTGCATTTATGGAGTTGTTGCTCTGCATCATATTTGTCAACAGCCAACTGTATGGAATATAAGACGACGTACAGGTATGGGGGCGGGGCCAGTTGTTAACTGCGTTAAAATATTTTAATCGTGTTATTTTTTCATAACTAATTAATAATTAAGTTAACGTGTTAAACTGACAGCCCTATTATAAATGTATCTATACTGTCACTTTTGATCAATTTAATGCATCCTTGAATAAAATCTTACTTCAAATTTTTGAATCGCAGTTTCCACAAACATATGAAGCAGCAGAACTGTTTTTAGCATTGATAAAAATAAGAAATATTTCTTGAAGAGCAAATCAGCATATTAGAATGATTTCTGAAGGACACTGAAGACTGGAGTAATGATGCTGAATATTCAGCTTTGAATCAGAGGAATAAAATACATTTGAAAACGTATTCAAATAGAAAACAGGTATTTTAAATTGTACAAATATTTCACAATTTTTACTGTATTTTTGATCAAATAAATGCAGTACTGGTGAGCATGCAGAGGAGACATTCAAAATCATTAAAAACGATTCCAAACTTTTTTTATATATATTTAAAGGTTTTGATCTGGAAGGTAGATAAATCACAGCATCCTTACTTTTGTGTTATATGAATTTTATTCGAGGTCTCCGTCATCAGCGTCAGACGTGTCAGAAGTTTGCGTGTGACGTCATCTGACCTTTAAGTAGAGCAGAGGTCAAAACCATCATAAAGGAGCACTCACTCAAAATATGGCAGACATATTGAGAAGTAGCTGATGCAGGACGTCATTTATATCACAAAATATAATTATATCATACAAAAACAAGCAGTCACAAGCACGAGGAAGGGCAGAAGCCCAAGGGAAGAGATGTTAGTCTCACGTCTTAGAGTAGGTCATACTGGATTAAATTCAAGGTTGCATAGAATAGGAAATAGGGCAGAGTTAAAGGCACAAAACATGACACTTGAGCATTTATTAGGGAAAACATCTGGGAGAGTACGCAATCTACTAAGAAATTATTAAAAAACACCGGGCTAAGTGAAAGAATTTAGCATGAATATATAGTCTAAGGTAGTTAATCAAAGTTTTAATTGAAAATTTTGATTTTTTTTCTACTTCTTTGATGTCATTCTGCTGCCCACACTCCAGTCTATAGGTGGCGGTAATGCACCCTTTAAGCTGAGTTGCCAACCGCCATAAAACCTGAAAGAAGACGACGAAGAAGACGAAGCGGAAGTGACGTCATCTGTCTTTATCCCGCTGCAGCGCCAGCTAACGCTGTAGAAATGAATCCCGCTTAGCACACGAGGGGATTTCAGCGCTATTTCAGACAGTGATTCCGTGCAGACTCGTCAGTGTGTGTGAAGATGTGCGATCTGAGCTCAGCGCTCATTAAAGAGGGCTGGTGAGTCACTACTGAGCGCTAACGGCTAGCTGTGTTTAGCATGCTGCTGATGCTAACTCATGTTTACGTTCGATTACCCACTCACTGTATTTATAAGTTCCTTTTAACAACCTACAGTTTATATAACTTCATCAGTTGTGTCATAACTTCATCAGGATGCCCAGTGCTGTTAGCACGATAATCAGCATTTATTAACTGCTAGTCTTTTATCAGGAAATCTAAATTATTTATACATTTTAATATATATATATATATGTGTGTGTATGTGTCATATATGATAGTTTATTGATCGCCTGCTGAAGTTTCTCAGTGATTCCCTTTAACTTAATCAGTCTGGACTGTCATGACATGTTTCACAAGCTCCATTAAACTTCCAAAGAACAGCATCTTACAGCCTTTAAGCCTTTTTGAAGGCTCAGGAAACCTTTGCAGGTGTTTTGAGTTGATTAGCTGATTGGCATGTCACCATATTCTAATTTGTTGAGATAGTGAATTGGTGGGTTTTTGTTAAATGTGAGCCAAAATCATCACAATTAAAAGAACCAAAGACTTTAAACTACTTCAGTCTGTGTGCACTGAATTTATTTAATACGAGTTTCACAATTTGAGTTGTATTACTGAAATAAATGAACTTTTCCACGACATTCTAATTTTATGTATGTATGTATAATTGACTAAATTGGATTGAAAAAAGTGAACACACAGGCCTAATACATCTAATAATATAGAACTAAAAAATATTATTAATAGAACTAATAAATGGAATTTAATAGCAACTAAGTATTTTCCAAATAATACTTTGACATATTTATAATAATATTTTTTCACTGTGTATTCCTTTGTTTTTTATAGATGAAGATATATAGATGCTTTTTACGTTTTTGAATGGGGATCCTTCCTATATTTGGGGTTATTAAAAAGCCCACACACTTTTCTACACAGGTACCTTACAGATGAAGGAATAGAGGAGTGTAAAAGTTCAACAGAGAAGACGAAAACATCACCGACTGACATTATCCAAGTAGCACTAAACGCAAGTGCTTTAAGAAATTACCTTGTTTCCTTTTATATTTACCCTTTTCTTTTTGTATTTACTCATGTAGTATGTCTTTATCAATTTGTGATCATGTATATTTGGGTTTCGGCTCTCCATAGAAGCCGCTACACCTTGAGAAAGCGAACAGAAATAATACTATTATATTCACATTACAGAGTGATCTGAGACCAATCGGAAAGAGCTTCCTGCCAACTGACATCAACAGTGGACGAATAGAAAAGGTATAACTAAAAGGCATCTAACATAATGCATAATTACAATATAAATAGACTTCATGCACTTGCTAATGCTGCCCACAAGATGGTGCTGTTATTAAAGAGAACATAAGCAGTGCATAAATGAAGATAGATAGTGTCAGAGCAGAGGTGAAGAGGTAAAAGAACATGACATTACTGCAGAATAATGACTGGGATTTGGTTTCTGAGAGCGGTGTTTCTCTGTAACGATAATTTAAGCCCACATGAGCTTGATGCATTACATTGGTTTTTAGCTGAGTGTTTTATCTGTTTGATGCAAAATCCCTCTCGTTCTCCTGCAGTTGGAGGGCCCTTGTGTCCTTCAGGTACAAAAGATTCGTAATGTCGCCGCTCCTAAAGATCACGAGGAGTCGCAGGGGGCGCCCAGAATGCTGCGTCTGCAGATGACAGACGGACACACGTCATGCACCGGCCTAGAGTACAAACATCTGTCCAAAATCAGGTACAGCTCATGCAGATATTTGCAGCTTTCCACCTTTTCATTATACATGCACTACCTGCAAGTAGGGATTTGTAAATCTGCATCGACTAGTAGTGAGTGGGAACTTCTGTCCTAATGAAGCCTTGTATAATTAGACTAATTGAAGGTCAGGTCCAGGTTCACACATTTCACGTTCTTGGTGTGGGATGCTAAATGCAGCAAGATGCTGCTGCTTTAATAAAGGGAATGAATCATGCTGACGTACTCTTACATTTAAAATTCATTCACTTGCATTAAAAATATTAAAGCTGAAAGTAAAATTGAAAAAAAAAAAAAATCGAATTAGTTCACTAAATAGTGGATGACTAGTCAGGGTTGTAGTTGATTTAATAAGGGTGGGAATGACATTTCATTGGCCCTGTCTTGCATGCAATACTACTGTACTTCATACTAAATGTACACTTCAATGCAAAAGTTTTTAATTGTTGTTGAAAATCATCTCTTTTGCTCACCAAGGCTATATTTATTTAATAAGAAATACAGTAAACATTGTGAAATATTATTACATTTTAAAATGGCTGTTTTTTTATGTGAATATGTTTAAATGTAATTTATTGCTGTGATCAAAGCTGAATTTTCAGCAGCATTACTTTGATAGTTCAAAAGAACAGCATTTATTTGAAAGAGAAACCTTTTGTAACATTATAAATTATGATTTATTGTATGCACCTTTGCTGAAAAAAAGTATTAATGTCTTTTAGAGTATTCACTCCAAACTTAGCGCCTGTTATTATTTAATAGTATGTGAAATGGTATGCAACATGCAGCATTAAATAATCAGAGTAGTATGCTGCAGTATTGTTACATGACCTTATTATGTTGCATGTTTAATTTAGCAAGTGGTGTCCAATTATCATCTTGGAAATAAATACAGTAATTTAGCATTTTTAATCTAATGATGTGTAAAAGTGTCTCTTGGCAGAGGAGAAAGAGATATTAAAAATGATGTTCCTTAAGTTTCATTCGCGTTTCAAGCTCAAGAGCATGGTATTTTGGGATACAGTATTTCATGTGATTATAGTACATGAATGCATGTGGGTTTTCCATGTATTCAGGAAGTATGCTTACTATGCACACTACATACTTCAGAAATAGAATGAGTGATGTGAAATCTGTGCCTGCAGAGTTCTGTAGAAAGTTCCTGTTTACTAGATATTTTGGCTAATTTGTTCAGGTTTATTGTTGTCAAACAGTACATTAAAGCGTAAACGTAAAGATTTGGCAAGTGACTGCAATTTTATACTTCCCTCACTCACTTTTTGTGAACGAGTGGCTGTAAAATCTAGTACCTCAGACATTTAATTGAAGCACGTCTAATTGCGCCGTATGATTTAATGAAATAACGTCTCGGCCCGTCAGACTCTGTGAAGTGGCCTATAATGAGGCCAAAAACCCGGCATTTGATTAAACGCAGCTTTTAATATGATAAAGAGGTCCTGTAATTACCTTGAGCCATACTAAAGGCGTTTTGATGTAGTGGGGAGCTGCATAAAAAGGTTTTTCACTATGAATTGATGTTCACGGCACTACAGAGTCATTCAGGGTCATGGTATTGCGCTGCTTTTGAGGTTACTTCAGGCTCATTTTCTCAACCCAAAACATCAGTGTCATTTTGAAATGCAGAAAATAGTGTCTTTGTGCAAGTCAGATTCATGTTGCATGCCAAGAATGTGTCTCTCTTGTTGCATTGATTTATGCATTTTGCTGGACTTGTCAACCGCTTGAAACAACTTATGTAATTTTATGTTTTAATAGTGTATACAAAGCTTTGAATTGTGAAGGTACAAATGCATTGCGAGTTACATCACCTAATTTATATGTTTAAATGTAATTTATTGCTGTGATCAAAGCTGAATTTTCAGCAGCATTACTTTGATAGTTCAAAAGAACAGCATTTATTTGAAAGAGAAACCTTTTGTAACATTATAAATTATGATTTATTGTATGCACCTTTGCTGAAAAAAAGTATTAATGTCTTTTAGAGTATTCACTCCAAACTTAGCGCCTGTTATTATTTAATAGTATGTGAAATGGTATGCAACATGCAGCATTAAATAATCAGAGTAGTATGCTGCAGTATTGTTACATGACCTTATTATGTTGCATGTTTAATTTAGCAAGTGGTGTCCAATTATCATCTTGGAAATAAATACAGTAATTTAGCATTTTTAATCTAATGATGTGTAAAAGTGTCTCTTGGCAGAGGAGAAAGAGATATTAAAAATGATGTTCCTTAAGTTTCATTCGCGTTTCAAGCTCAAGAGCATGGTATTTTGGGATACAGTATTTCATGTGATTATAGTACATGAATGCATGTGGGTTTTCCATGTATTCAGGAAGTATGCTTACTATGCACACTACATACTTCAGAAATAGAATGAGTGATGTGAAATCTGTGCCTGCAGAGTTCTGTAGAAAGTTCCTGTTTACTAGATATTTTGGCTAATTTGTTCAGGTTTATTGTTGTCAAACAGTACATTAAAGCGTAAACGTAAAGATTTGGCAAGTGACTGCAATTTTATACTTCCCTCACTCACTTTTTGTGAACGAGTGGCTGTAAAATCTAGTACCTCAGACATTTAATTGAAGCACGTCTAATTGCGCCGTATGATTTAATGAAATAACGTCTCGGCCCGTCAGACTCTGTGAAGTGGCCTATAATGAGGCCAAAAACCCGGCATTTGATTAAACGCAGCTTTTAATATGATAAAGAGGTCCTGTAATTACCTTGAGCCATACTAAAGGCGTTTTGATGTAGTGGGGAGCTGCATAAAAAGGTTTTTCACTATGAATTGATGTTCACGGCACTACAGAGTCATTCAGGGTCATGGTATTGCGCTGCTTTTGAGGTTACTTCAGGCTCATTTTCTCAACCCAAAACATCAGTGTCATTTTGAAATGCAGAAAATAGTGTCTTTGTGCAAGTCAGATTCATGTTGCATGCCAAGAATGTGTCTCTCTTGTTGCATTGATTTATGCATTTTGCTGGACTTGTCAACCGCTTGAAACAACTTATGTAATTTTATGTTTTAATAGTGTATACAAAGCTTTGAATTGTGAAGGTACAAATGCATTGCGAGTTACATCACCTAATTTTAACACACAACGTGAAGGGTTTGTTCAAATTATTAACCCTAATATGAGCAAAAATTACCATGATGCTTAAAGGAATAGTTCACACAATTTAAATTTGCCAAATTTTTATTCACCCTAAGATGATCCAAGATGTAGATGAGTTTGGTTGTTCATCAGAATTAGAGAAATGTAGCATTACATCACTTGCTCAACAATGGATCCTCTGCGGTGAATGGGTGCCGTCAGAATCCAAACAGCTGATAAAAACATCACCGTAATCCACACCACTCCAGTCCATCAGTTAACATCTTGTGAGGCCAAATCCATTGTTAAGATGTTTTTAAACCTAAAAGCATTGCTTCTGGCCAAAATACAAGTCCATAATAACGCTTCCTCCAATGCAAAGCCCATCTCTTGTTGTCTCTCACATCAAAATCCAGCCACATATTTGTTTAGAGCTGTTTGGACTGTTTTTGCTTGTAAACTGTGCAGAAATCTGTGCAGATTTCTCTCCTGATTCAGACCAGATGACTTTTTAACTGAAGAAAGTAATGTTATAAATAGAGGACTCGCATTTTAGCTGGTTTGAAGTTAAAAAAAATATCTTGATGGATTTGTTTCTTACAAACATGCAGCTTTTGGCTTTTTTAAGACATTAACTGATGGACTGGAGTGGTGTGGATTATCTGAATCAGCATTATTCGCCAAGTGTGCACAAACACAAAAGGAATTTGTTGTGGTTTTTAAGAAGCTCTTGGTACATACATGCATACATACATACATACATACAGTATCTCTCAGAAGTGAGTACACCCCTCACATTTTTGTAAATATTTTATCTTTTCATGTAACAACACTGAAGAAATGACACTTTGCTACAATGTAAAGTAGTGAGTGTACAGCTTGTATAAGTGTAAATTTGCTGTCCCCTCAAAATAACTCAACACACAGCCATTCATGTCTAAACCGCTGGCCACAAAAGTGAGTACACCCCTAAGTGAAAATGTCCAAGTTGGGCCCAATTAGCCATTTTCTCTCCCCGGTGTCATGTGACTCATTAGTGTTACAAGGTCTCAGGTGTGAATGGAGAGCAGGTGTGTTAAATTTGGTGTTATTGCTCTCACTCTCTCATACTGGCCACTGGAAGTTCAACATGGCACCTCATGGCAAAGAACTCCTTGAGGATCTGAAAAAAAGAATTGTTGCTTTACATAAAGATGGCGTAGGCTGTACAAGCTGTACACTCACTACTTTACATTGTAGCAAAGTGTCATTTCTTCAGTGTTGTCACATGAAAAGATATAATAAAATATTTACAAAAATGTGAGGGGTGTACTCACTTCTGTGAGATACTGTACATGTATACATCCATATCTGACATGAGAACAGAAACATTATATAAGACTTAACAATAAATAATGCGTATGAATCTGGAACAGAAGATTTATGTCCAGATTTGTGCATTATTTACTCAAAATATATATAGCTGTATAAAAAATATGCAGATGTATTTACATAGTACTTGAGAGAGAGGCAATAATTAGAGATGGAGATTGAATTACAGAACACAGGTAATAATTCATGTGTTAGCTGTTTAGGCTGGAGATGGCATGGGGAAAAAGCTGTTTTTATGCCTAGATGTTCTAGTGCGCAGATATCTGTAGCGTCTGCCTGAGGGGAGAAGTGCAAACAGGTTGTGTCCAGCGTGAGAGGGGTCTTTGATGATGTTACCTGCCCGTTTCTTCACTCTGTAGTTGTACAAGTCCTGAAGATTGGGCAGGTGGACACCAATGATCCTTTCTGCTGTCCTAACAGTCCGCTGCAGTCTTCTTGTATCTGATTTGCTGGCTGACCGAAATCAGACAGTTATAGAGGAGCACAGAACT